ATCATATATTTTTATTTAAATTTTATTTTCTATTTTATTTTTATTAATTAATATATTATATTATAAAAAAATTGTTTTAATTATATTATAAAATTTTGTAATTGACTAATTTGTCACTTTGATCATTTTACATTTTTATCAAACTTATCAATTAGTTTTTATCAAATATGATTTGTTCATCAGCTATTAACTAACTTATCAACCAAACACAACTTAAAATCAGTCAAATATTGATATTGGAATAAAGTTTTCAGCATGTTTCTCTTCTATTTATTATGCTTATAAAAAATAGAATCCAATTCTTTACCCCCCTTTTTTCTTTCTTTTTATTGGTCATTTAAAAAATAATTAATTTAAAAGAGAAGTTTTTCTTTGAAAAAAATGACATATTCACCACTTTGTTTGGAATTTATATTCCCACCTTTGCCTTTGCGTATAATCAAAGATTTCTTGCTTCAAAAGTGGAACTAATCATCTTTAATTACGTTTATTTTGTGTCTTAGATCAAAGTTTGTAGTACAAGTTTCATAATTAAAATATTAAAATAACGTTAATAAATCAGTAAAATTGTTGTCCAATATTTTATAGAGAAAAAAAGATGGTTTTAATTAATCTAAATTTACAGAGATTTGATAAAAATCATATCTGATAGTTCACTATTTTTCACATATTTAGTGAACAAGTTTTTGACAATGTTCTAAAGCAAGGTCTTTAAAAATACCGAATAGTTAGTCATTTCAATAAAACAAACTTTTATGACTATTTTAATTCTTAACGCGTAAGAATATATGGAAACGATATATGTGTGTCGGGCCTTTTTAGAAGAATTCTATTAGGTTTTTATATTAATAACATGCGATATATTTCTTATATTTGTGTGTGTGTGTGCATATATATATATATATATATATACTAGTTGTCTACCAGAGGAATGTAAAAAGCTCATTAAGATGATTCAGTTTTGAGATATCAAATTCCTTAAACACTGTAAATGTAAATCCGGAACTCCGAAATGCCAACCTTTAAAATAAACAGACAGCTCAAACCCTAGTAGTAAAATGGAAAGCCAAATGAAGACCTTTATATAAGTATAAAAATGTGTGGAAGTTGTAAGGGTGTCGGTGCGCCGGAGGAAAGATGGGGAGGAAAGGCGGAGGCGAGAAAGATTGCATCTGGGGCAATGGAGATGATTGGGAAAAATCAATCATGAATTATGAAAATATGAGGTTTACATTTGATTTGAAATGGTAAGAGAGTTTTTGATGGTAAGATGAAAATTTTGGCAATATAAAGGGTCAAGATTCGAAAGGGGTAGATGGTTTAAATTTTCAATGTCTATTGGAAACCAAAACTAAGTATGAGAAAGATAAAACTTAAAAGTATGAGTTGTAAAAGGTGAAACATTGTTGAGTCGTACCATATGCATAAATGACTTGTAATTAAGACTTTATGCATAAAGAAATAGTACCTTATGCATTTAAGGTTGTTTTTAAGACTTTTATCAAATCTGTTTTATAAGGTAGTATAGAATATATATATAGCTGTAAATACGATCGAATTTTTTTGTAGCATTTTGGATCTACTATTCGATTATAATAAGGAATATAGTTTAATAAAAGATTTGTGAACTTAAAAAAGAAATTAATAAGTGGAGGATGTATCACATGAAACTTCCATGAATATAAGGATGTAGTCACATGAATCCCATGAATTAATGCAGTTTCCATGTGCATTTTATACCTATAAATGTTTACTAATTAAGAATGAATCACATTCATGGTCATTGTGTTGGCAGTGGTTTCTACTTTTAATCTCTAAGATTCATTTTGTACACTTCTGGTCCTTCATTCCTATTTTGCATCACAAATTAGTCTGTTTAGTCAACCTTGCTAACTATGCCGTCATTAAACCCTTCAAGAAAAGTAAAATTAAACACAAATCCAATATTTTAAGAAGATCAACGTCTCAAGAAAAGTAAGACTATTGACTTGAGAGATGGTTTTGGTTTTCAAACCAAAACATAAGGACCAAGAACGCAATTCACGTAACAATTAATAAATAATCCATTTTAGGAATAAAAAAAGTAACATCCTAAAAATCTTGACAATTAACTCAATCGACATGTAAACGCTACGGATTCTTTATTAATAGTTATTAGACACTTTTTAACCTCTTCTTTTTATTAACCTGGAAATCCAACATACTATGTGAGCTGATTAATCATAGGATGACTACCTGTTTTGCAGATAGCCCGGAGTCACCACATTTGAACCTCCGTGACCACAAGAAAATTTTTATTCCCCATTAGATTTGAACCTGGGACCTTCGGATACTTTTAACCTTTGAAGTCAAGTTTAAACCAATCAAACACCACCATTATTATAGTTGACTTTTAAACCTGTTATCTTTTAGGTATCATGAAATTAGCATAAATTAACATATAAGAAAATGAAAAACAATGGATGGCAAAACTGGGATTTTGTAAATAGAGGGTTAAATGGCATGTCGGCATGTGATCCACCTGTACACATCTTACAGAATGTTTCCCCTTTATTCCAAATCTATCCTTCTCTTATCGTGCTTTCCTCTACTTCTTTTTAATTAAAATACTTGACTTTTTTTAATTAAATTAATCATAATAAATAAATAAAAAAAAGACAAAACGCGTATCTTCTTCTGCAATCGACAACAAAAAAAGATCACAAAATTAAATATCCTTCTATTTTATTATTTCTCGTACATTAAAATTGAAAATACAAAAATCATTAAACCGTCAACTATTGTTTAAAAACATCTGATCTCGTAAACCTAAACTTAACTTCGAATCTCGAAATTGTTACATGTTATTTACGTTTTTTCAGAATAATAGTTTTAAAAGCGGAAAAAATCATATACGTATGGCGGTACGAGTACGATAGAATACGAATAATAGTAATTAAAAAGGGTTTTAGTTTAAATATTAAGATTTATTTAAAGTGAAATAAAATATTCGGTGATTAAGGTCATGATCTGGCTTTATTAGGTTTATTTTATTGGTGAGAGCTGCTCATAACCGTTTTCATACGATATTTGTGGTTGGACTGAAAGGATATTGCAGTGGTAGCTTTGAACTTCTCCAAACCGCTCTACCCGATAAATTTCCCCCTTTTTTCTCTATCTCGTCAGGTTTATTTCAACAACTGAACTTGGTGTGTTCATAATCGTCGCTACTGTAAAAGCAAATCTTTTTGTTTCGGTTTTGTTTTTGTTTTTGTTTTTGTTTTTGTTTTTGTTTTTGTTGCTTCCTGGTCGGTGGCTTCTTGTTTAGCCTTCGCATAAATGCGAAACCCTAATACGTACTTCTGAATCGCTGGAATACACCATTGGGTTTTGTTCTTTCTAGGAAATAGGGATGAACCCGTCGTTTGTTTGGTATCTTTTTTCTTCAAAAGTGTTTTAGTTTCCACCGGATACCGTAACGGCGTTTATGTTTGCTTTTGCACAGAGAGTTTTGCGTGTGTGATCACCGGTGCCATCTCTCCTGCAACAATTACTGGTTTTCTTACGCCAATGAGTAGTGGGGGTTCACCTTACCGGAGACACCGGAAGGATGTGGAGTCCGGTGGTAGTGGAGGTTTCCAGGACTATGGGTCGGTTTGTGATCCTTTTGACATTGTTAGTACCAAGAGTGCGTCGGTCGACCGCCTTAAAAGATGGAGGGTAATGTCTCTTTTGCATTCTTGATGTTTGGATTGCATATTAACACTATATTGTGTTACTGTTACCTGCCAATTTCCTTTTGCGCAGAAGAGGACTGATGTTTTGAATTGATGCTTATTGCCCTCTCCTATTTGGTCTTGGTGACTGTCTGTACATATTTTGTTGGGCATCTTTGGATAGGAGATGGTTGTGAATTATCGTACGAATTTCCGATACTATTGCATTTGGTTGCACAACGTCTTTGGATTTTCTGTAATGCATTGGCAATAATCATTATAATAGAATTCTTGAAAAGGGTGGCATAAAGTGAGGTTAAACATGCTTCAAGGTTTGTCTTGGATGCAACCGGCTCGTGTAGTAGGAATAATCTTTGAATTCACCGGTGTAATGTCATCAGGGATGTGATCTTGGATAGCAGGGTGCAGGGATGTTAATTGTATGCGGGGCCCTTCTACATGATAGGTCTTAGCTTATTAGGAAAAGTTGGGTCAATAGATCATTCCTCTTCCTGTCCCTATCCCTTCTTTCTTAAGTAATTAGGTTTAGATGGCGGTATATTTCATAGTACCAAATGGTATGGCGTAATTGATTCACACCAAGTTGAGTAGGATGTTTGAACTGTATAGGGGAATCGAACCACCTTGATTGCTTCTTAATTAGATGTGGAACATTATTGTGTGATATGTGGGACCGGTAATAATTGGTAACCGGTCTTTAATTTGCAAGAACGACCTGGTTTGTAAGGACGTGATTCTACCTAAGTTGCTGCCTGTTGATTTGCGTGGCTATGAGTTATCAATCTAACGATCTTCTTGCATTCTCTACTGTTGTATATATATATATATGTTGTAGTCTCGTGGACCATTTCTGTGAACACTTCACAAGTCTAAGTCTCCGGCATATTGTATGTGCCATCTGAAAACCATGGCAGGTTCATGTTTCTCCAATTGGAAAGGGAGTTGGTTATGACACTAATTGAATACAACTGCTCCTGCATTCAATACCTAACATATGCGTATGATTGATAAATGACCATAAACTTGTGCAGTCATGTTTATGGTTTTACGACTTCTCTTTAGATTGTGGTAATCGCGTTTTCTGGTGTTTTGGTGGTTTTTTAAATGTTGTATGCAATCTACTTATAAGTCAAATTATCTAACTTTCTGGAATGAGGAAAAGAGGATATTCAGTCCCTTTGGTTATACATGTTGTATAAATTCTTTTAGGTAAAATCCAAAAATCTACAATCTGATTTGATTCATGGGTTCTGTATAGTGATTATTAATTTGATTCACGAATTGACAATTATGTACTCCAGTTATGAGTTAGAGCTAACTGTCAAGTTGGCAAAAGTTTCAAATATTTTTAAGACTTTTACTTATTGTGTTCACACCTGAATGCTATTTTGCCTAGTTAATTAATTTAGTTATGCTTATATGATCAAATGAAAACAACCAAAGTTGATCATATTCCCACTTCGCTAACCTTGTTTTGTTTCAATGCTAATATTTGTTTGATATAGCAAGCGGCACTTGTGCTGAATGCTTCCCGTCGATTTCGATACACCTTGGATTTGAAAAAGGAGGAAGAGAAAAAACAGATTATAGCGAAGATCAGAACTCATGCACAAGTCATACGAGTAATGTTAATCTCATATTTATACATAATTTAATGCAACTTGGATCAATTTATGATTCATTATTGTTGCTTTTCAGGCTGCCTATCGCTTTCAAGCAGCAGCTGGTTCTGAACCAGAAGGTATTTCCTTTTCTTCACAACTGCGTCAATCCATTTATGTTTTACTGTCTTATATTCTCAATCCTACTGTTTTCAGATTTTAACTTCTCCTGATGTAACACTTGTGTACATACTACTTTGTGTACATTTTTCACTTCTGCTTTGTATAGATGGGTCTATCATTGTTTTGTATACCTTTTAAGAATGACTTGTTAATGTCGTTCTTTAAGCAGGTGCCCAGAAAGCACCTCCATCCCCCATTCCTATCGGTGATTATAATGTTAGTCCGGAACAACTTGCTTCAATGACAAGAGACCATGATTTCTCTGCTTTGCAGAACTTTGGAGGGGTAAGTTGATAGATGAGGGATCTTAACACACACAAACACAAACATATAAGCATTTTCACTCATCACTTGCTCTTGGAGCACATCGTCCTGTGGGTAACATTGTTCTTTGTTTCTCTTCCATGAACACAACAGGTTAAAGGAGTGGCAGAAAAGTTGAAGACAAACCCTGATAAGGGAATTCATGATGATGAGTCTAAAATATTGGAGAGGAAAAATGTATTTGGGTCAAACACATACCCACGAAAGAAGGGACGAAGCTTTTGGGTACTCACTAGTTATCCATGGACTTGCTTTTGACTAAAATGATATCGTTCATTATGTAAATGTTGTGATTTAAATTGTTGTATGCTATGCATTTGATAGAGGTTTGTGTTTGATGCTTGTCGAGATACCACCTTGATCATCTTGATGGTAGCTGCTGCTGCTTCTTTGGCACTAGGTATAAAGACAGAGGTTAGTAATCAACACTTATCGATTTCTGTTATTTCCTTCCTGGTTGACAGTTTAGATGAAGTATTTTTTTTTATTTCTTTGGGCTTTATCTATGTTTATAACTACATGTGTTTTAGATTTTCCTCCAATCTATATTCATTCCTTTTGTTTCGTCATAGATATTGAGTGTGATCAGTTAGCGATCATTAGTATTATCGGGGTATTTTTAAGCTCAAAATAGCAGCAAAGTTGTCACACCCCGTTAAAGCGGAAACACGAGATGTAACAAGTAAGCGAGTCACAACAGCAGATATTAAATAACACCATTCAAGTTTTACAAAAATTCGAATTTAACATCCATAACCAAGTTGGAATAGAATACTTCTTTACAAAAACTTCAAAATGAACTTAATCGGTGTCGTCACATATATGCTCCAAAACTTCATTTCTTACTTTAATCCTGAAAAGCATGAAACATAAAACAAGTCAACTACAAAGAGTTGGTGAGTTCACGGGTTTTCACATGCACAAAACATTACAATGCATAAATCATTTCTTGCAAACCTATACATAACTTTTGCACTTAATAAATGTAAATCTATCACGATGTTTAAAACTTGAGACGCTACTGAGCCTTTCCTGACCAATGTGCCCCATTATTTTACGAACGACCATAAGTAGCCCGTACACTCACTTAGGTCCCACGGTTCGTAGTAGTACTAATTCAACGGTGGTCCAAATTCCACATGATTAGACTAAGAAAAACATAGGTAATGTGCACCCCTTTCTGGGTGGGACTGTCAACACAATAGCG